TTCCTGGAGCTTTGTAAGTTTGTATTTTAGGTCTACAATACATGTTGAGTTAATTTTTATTAAAGGTATAAGGTGTCTCTCTAGATACATTTTTTTGCAGATGTTTTGTTGTAGCACCATTTGTTAAAAAAGACTATCTTTGCTTCATCATGCTACCTTTGCTTATTTGTTGAAGATCAGTTGATTATATTTATGTGGGTCTGTTTCTTGGCCCTCTGTTTTGTTCCACTGCTCTATTTGTCTGTTCTTTCACCAGTATTACACTGTCTTGATTAATGTAGTTTTATAGTAAGTCTTGAAGTTGGATAGTGTCAGTCCTCCAACTTTGTTCTTCTCTAAGGTATTGTATGACCATTCTAGGTGTTCCCTCTCTCCATATAAACTTTAGAATGATTTTGTCAATATCCACAAGGTAACTTGCTGGGATTTTGATTGGGATTGTGTTGATGTTTTTAGATCAAGTTGGGAAGAACTGATATCTTGATAGTATTGGTTTTCTTATACATGAATGTGGACTATATCTTCATTTATTTAGTTTTTTATTTCTTTCATCAGTTTTTTACAGTTTTTTCTCATATAGATCTTATACATACTTTGTTAGATTTGTACTGAGGTACTTAATTTTGGGGGTGTTCTAACATAAATTATATTGTTTTAAATTTCACATTCTACTTGTTTACTACTGGTGTGTAGGAAAGTTATTGACTTTCTATGTTAATCTTTATCCTGTAGCCTTGCTTATTAGTTTCAGGAGTTTTTTTGTTATTCTTTGGGATTTTCTTCCTAGATGATTATGTCGGCTGTGAACAAAGACAGTTTTATTTTTTCCTTCCCAATCCGTGTACTTTTATTTCCTTTACTTACTGCGTGTGCTAGGAATTAAGTGCAGTGTTGAAAAGGAGTGGTGAGAGGGTGCATCCTTGCCTTTTTCCTGATCAGTTTTCATTAAGTATGCTGTAGAGGCTTTGATTTTTTTAGCACAGCATTTGTTTCCATATGACAGTTTATATAGTTATTTTTTGTTGTCATACTGTCTTCCTCTAGAATGTCAGTTCTTTAAAAACATCACCATGTCTCTTTTTATCATTGTTGAGTCCCATCACTTAGTAGAGCATATCAAACTGTCAATAAGTAAGGTGTAAATAAGTGAATAAATAAGGACTTTACTTCCTAGATTTGAACGGTGATCATAAGAATGGAGAGAGAAGTAAACCCCTAAAAAGTGACAATAATTTTAAGACTTTTATATGATTAGATGAATGAAAGAGAAATGTAAAGGTTTGTATTGCTCAGGTTTCTAGTCTAGGGAATCTTCTCATTCAGTGCACTTTAAACAATCTGTGTACTCACATGGTTTCATTTCCCCATGCTATTGGCTGTCATTTCTCTATTTCTAGTTCAGTCCCCTCTTCTGAAAAGCAGATGCATGCTGAACATCTCTACTTGGCATCTAACATAACCAAACTCAAAATTTTCCCACCCTGACTATTCCTTTTTTCTAAGTAGTCTCTAACAAAGAGAGGTGTACAGTCACATAGCTGGAATGCCCAGTGCCATATTTGATATTTACATTTTTCTCCCTCTTCCTCTCTCCACCTAATAAATGACAGGATCTTGTTAATCATTCTTCCTGAAATAACCCACCTACTTCTCTTTAACTGCGGCGTTCTCTTAGTTTAGACCACATTTAGCTTCATCACGGCAGGATCCTTTCATACTGTTTTTTTTTTTACTTCTTTCCCATTCATTCTTTATACTCTAGTCAGAGGAATTTTATATTTAAAAAAAAAATCCAAGAATGGGGGGGGGGGCAGAGAGAGAGAGAGAGAGAGAGAGAGAGAGAGAGAGAGAGACTGGGGTTTAGAGAGTTGGAATAATTTACCTGAGATGGTAGAGCTAAGAAGTGGTGGAACTGGATGGCAAATTTTGAGAGATTAGAGCCTCCAGCAACTGGAGCCTTTACTGTACCATGCTGCCTCCAGTATATCATGATTGCTTGAGTAGTTTGCAGAGCATTTTCATGATTTTCTTCTTGAGTAACTTTTTGAGGCAGTGATTATAATTACCCTCACTAGTCAGGTAAGAAAATTGAGAAAGGAAGGGTTAGTTAACTTGCTCAAGGACAAGAAACTGTTAAGTGATGGAGTTACAGTTGTACATTGGTACTCATTGTTAATTCACTTAGTTGCTGAAACTTACAAATACCGAAAGGTGAAGCATTTTCTCTTGTGGGGCAGTATCATGGTTCAAACAAGTTCTGGAAAGTGCAGGGAGTCCCCAGCAAGCACCAAGCACTGAAACATTGTTTTTCTCATCAAAATGTTACAAGTACAGGGTTTGACAAGTTCTGAAGCTGACAAGTACTGAGGTATGACTGTGTTACTAGAAATTGTTAGCTGGCTCCAAAACCCGTACTTTTAACCCTGGAATTTGCTAATGATAACAGATATATAGCACATGTTTTTGGGTTTGCTCGTGATTTTATTTAGATCTAGCATTGTAATCAGGGGTGAGTCAAGTTATGTAAATTCTCAGTGCCTCAATTTCTGTTTAAAGCGGAGAAAAGATTGACTACATTGGGTATAGATGGACACAAAGCATGTACTGCAGTGTCTTAACACATGGTAAGGTCCTAGTTAATTACTAAGATATATTAAGAGTTATCTATTGTTAGTGTTAGCCAGACTTCTTCTTTCCATTACTTTCAAGCTCAGTGTCACCAAATAATTCTTCTACTCTTCATTATTGTATATTCTCTTTAATTTTCCACTTCCCTAAGCATTCTATGCTTATTTTTCTCCATGCCTTTGTTTAGCTATTCCTTTTATTTGAATTATCCCTTTTTCTTTTGTCTGCTATTTAAATTTTACTATTCTCTTAAGGCTTTCACAGTCTCTGAAATATTTTTCTAATTATTTTAGCTGCGTTAACCTTTTCCTTTCTGAACTTGTAGAATCTTTGTTCTTTAATTATACTTTAATTATTTATTTATAACTTTTACCTTCTTTGCTTTAGAAATTTATTATGGTGATTAGCATATAATATTTACTCAATAAATGCATATAATTGTTTTACTCTAATACAGGGTGGGGCAAAGGTAGGTTTATAGTTGTGAGTATGGAAAAGTTTTCTTTTTAAAAAGTATTGTATTATTTTCCATACAAATAACTGTTAATATACCTTTGCTCCACCCTGTATTTGGCGTACATTATTTGGAGAAGCCATGTACCAGGCATACTTGAGGCATAAGGATAGGTAAGACCTGCTCCATTATCATGTAATTCATAATGTAATAAGACACATTATAGTTTATATGTAGACAACACAGCTGTTTTTAACCTCCCTTCTGCTTCACATGATTCATAGTATATGCGATTTACTTTGATCATTAATATCTCATTATATACATTTATTGGGGGAGCATTATCCTTTAACATTGAGACTTTATAATTTTAAAAAGCCCATTTTCATGTCCTTTCTTATTTAATTTCTGAACTAACAGATGAGTTAGGAAATAATGTAGCCATGAATAGAAAGAAAATTGAGATCCAGAGATGGAGATGTTACAGTCCTTACCTTATAGGTGAAGAAACTGAATCTTGAAGAGTTTTTAGACTCAAGTAGAAAGATAATAATAGAGTTGGGACTTAAGTCATCTAACAATTGAATAATAAGCTCCTGTACGATAAGCATTGTCTTATGTTTCTTATTTTAAATTTTGTATTATAGGAATCTTTAAACAATACTAAAAAGCGGTGTATAACATGAATTTTCTGTGTACCTTCCAATCAACTTCAGTAATTATCAGCATTTTGCCAGTGTTATTTTATATACCTTCACACAAATTTTCTTCTTTTCAGAGTATCTTAAATCCTAGAGTTGATATTCTACCCACCAGTATTTTAAGATGAGCATTGACTTTAAATTATGCTGAATATAACTCTGTTAAAGTACATGAATATTTTTTAAAATACTTACTTCTATTTACGGTGCATTTTTCCATTAGATGTCTAGTTGCATTCAACAGATTTTCAAGTATATCTACTTCTTTGGAAATGTAAACATTTAGGGTACTGTTTCCTATGATACATTGTTGATATACAGTAATTAATGTGACTTGGAGGGGAGGAATGCAGCCAAAGGGAACAATTAGCTGATTATGTTCTTTCCAGTGAGTACTGTTTTTGTAAAATAGATGCTTTTATGAACATTTATTTTTAAAACATCTAAGAAATTTTTTATAAATAGATATTTTCTATTATAGTATGCTTCTCTTTTCTTTTATCTTTTTTCTTCCTTTGTAGAGGAAGGGATGTTTCTTCTCCAAAAGCTAAACTTGATAGTTGTATACTGGATATTATTTACCTACCTTGTAGAATTTTGCTACTTCATTTTCTTTTTGATATCTGTGCTCTCTTTTTTTTCCTGTCTGTCAGCCTACAGGCTTTCAAGTCTACTTTAAAAGCAACAAAAACAAAACAAACTTCCCTTGATTTTATGTAGCAATATTGTTGGCTTTAGAGAAAGGCCCAACTCTTTAGAAGGTTCTTTTTTGTTTATCTCCCAGATATCTTTTCATCCTTGCCACTTATCCCATATGCTTTTGATGTAAATTCATAATAGTTATTATAAGTTAAACAGCCACAAAGTTGTTACACTAGCATACAATTTATGTACTAATATATATACCGCACCAGAATTTAGAACCAGAACTTTCACTCATTCTTGCCCAAATCAGTTCAACAAAATTCACCAAACATTAAAATCTCTACTGTGTGACAGATACTATTCTATGCTCAAAGACTCTGAAATACATTTGCAAATTAATGCGGTATTGAAGAAATTACAGAGGTACTATGCACCTAAATATATAACATTTTTTGTTTATCAGTGAAATTGCTTCTATAGTATGGCAGTGTTAAAGTTTATTTATAATTTTCTGTGCCAGACTATTGTGATTGAACTATTATCTAATTATATTTTAAAATTTATTTTTTTAGGGACAGTACGGAAATTACCAGCAGTGAAAAAGTACTTACATTCCAATAGCCAGTATCTATTAGCAGCCATATTGTCACCTCAGCACTGTGGACACCTCCCTGTGAAGAGATCCTTCCATTCCATCTAGTTTTTGGAAAAACCTTGTGGCTAAGTGGCTGTTTCGTCAGTAAGCAGCCTTTGTGGCTTAGTTGTTTAAAAGGCTTTAGTAGCTCAAAAATACTCTTAATTTCACATTTCTACTCTAGATGGCAACATTGGACAGAAAATACGACATAACCAATTTGCAATGATTTTGGAACTGTGTTTCAAATGGACTGTTACTGACTGAAAGGTGTGAACAGCTTTGTATGTTTATGAAGGTTAAGGGAATGTAATACTTTTCCACAGATTCTTTTGTAAGGGGGAGAGGGAAATGTACACTTTTTACAGTAGCAATATTTTGTATATTATGTTTATTTCATGTGGTAAATATGCAAGGCGGTACACTACGTATTGGACAGAATCAGAAATCCTGTTAATGTGGATTGGAACATGGTGTATGCCTGTTTGTGTTGGTCTCAAAATGGTGTACTCTCAAGGTAAAGGTGAGGGAGAAGACAAAGCACACCATATGTCCACTGTTCATGTTCTTTACAGGAAATTCAGATCCCTTTTATCTCTTAGATAATCAGGGGCACTGTGATACAGTTTTCAGTAAAAGACATTTTTTTAAGGCTTTCCAGTTCTGTGGTTTAAAACCTTTTTATAAAGATCATTTATAATACAGTTTTAAAATGTGAGGCAATAAGAATTACTTCATGTTGGATCTGAAGAGTCTTGGTAACAGTTTCAAGTAAATGAAATGGTAATCCTCTCCTAAAATAGCAATAAGTGAAAATGGAAGTGTTAATTTTACCTTGTTTGAGCAATCAGGGAAGTTACTAAGTAATATCAGAACATGTTTTAAACGATATCAAAGAAGAGTCAACATTGACTCCGTTTTATTTTTAACATTAGAAGGTTAATTGGTTTATATAATAGAATAGTTCAGGAGACTTACAAACTTTTATTTCAGTTTTCTTAACTGGAAATAATACCATTGATAAAGGGATGCTTTTAAGTTTTTCCCTTTTTTATGTTGGTTAATATAACACAAAAGGATATTGAGGAAAATGCTTATTGATGAGGTTGATTATGATCTGTATTAAAAACATAGAGTTTGCATTCTAGATCACTTTGTTCATTAGCATCACATATTTAGTCATATTTGAGACTGTCCTGTGCCTGATTATTTTAACTCAATTCAGGGATATTGCATTAGACAGGAAATCATGCATTGAGAAGTTTGTAACCACAATTGTTTAAGCATAATCTGGAAACATCTAGCCAAGAGGTAAGTTGCTATTTTCAGAACAGTTGCCTATGCCCAGGGAATAAAATGTATACTCTATAATTGAATTGGTTTTTCCCACTTCTAACTGGAAATGAAACAGAGGGGGTGCCATTAATTTGAATAAGCAAAACATACTGTTCTCAACATTCTGTAATCAAAAAGAAGAATTTCAGTGTGTCTATGTGTACGTATGAAAGAGAGTATGTGTGTTTTAAAGGGCAGAATAGTTTGTTTCTTTGTTTTCCAACTTGGTCAGTAGAAAATGGACTTCAAGTTTGAACAGACAAAGCATGGACAGCCTTGTTGTGATTGAAATGCTTATAGGTTCTGTGCCAATTTTCCACCACTGTGTACTTCGTTGCTATTTAAAACTGTATCACCTCTAACAGAAGAATAAATTATTTGTGATTTTAATTTTCTCATTTGTTTCTTTAAATTAGATCTCTTTGACTGTCTTGTTTTGTTTGGAGACTATGCTGTGGGTATTTTATATAAGTTAGTCCAGTAAAAGCAGACTATATTTGTATTCTAGGACTTTATCAAAATTCTCTTGCTATGCCCAAGTTAATTAGAATTAACTGTTCAGTAATCAGCATGTTGTGTGGGCTGTTTGTTACAGAATTCTTTCTCTGAAAATGAAGTCCATGAGGCTATAATCAAGATGACTGAATTAGATAAATGAGTTGAGGAGACAAAATTGTACTAAACCCAACCTGGTCTAGATACGTTATCTCATTTGAAATAAGCTCAACTGACATTAAGAAATAATTTGTCTTGCCAACCCATCTTCTGTTGTCTTACTCTCCTTTTAATGGAAACTAAAATTGCAATTTTAATAAGCAGAATTTCCTCCAGGACTTTCTTCCTGGAGACTAGTGCATTTGCAAGGTTTAATTGTTTTATAACAGTCTTATTTCGTAAAAGTTTTTAATTGGTGGTGACAAAAATTACCTACTCCTTTGTTATCTAGGAAGAAGAATTTACCAGTAGCTTTCCAGCACATTTGTCATTCCCACATAGACTACATATTCTAAAAGTGAAATTTTTATTTTATAGAAATGTATATTATTATGAAAAAAATTATTATAACATCCCATAAAATTCCAGAAGCAATACGTTACTAAGACAAATATAGGGTGATTATTGATTAACATTAACAAATATTTAATTGTGCTAGTTTAGGTCTTTGAGAATATGTTGGCATTGTTTTGAAGAGTTGTGGTAACATACTGTTTTTGGTTTTGATTTTTAATGGAATTTTCAAACATACACCTAAGTGGAGAGAATGGTGTAATGACCCCATGTACCAGTAACTGACTTACTCACTTAGTATCTCACAGCCAACCTTGTGTTGTCTATACACTGACCCACAGATTGAAGAATATACTTTGTCCTTTAATTATTTCATAAAGTATCTTTAAAAGACATGTACTCTTTTAAAAAACACATTGGTACTGAAGGACTCTTCCTGTTACTGAAATTTTGTATATTCAGTGTTAACAGTGAATTAGAAATCATCTGAGAAATTGTATGAATTAATCAGTCTTTTATTTTAAATAGTCATTCATGTTAAATAGTTAAGACAGTAAAAACAGGTTATACTGAAAGCAAATATTCTCCATAATTTTATTTCTTAAAGGTAACAATTATTTAAAGGTTTGATGTATTCTAAATTTACACACAGAAGCCAACATACGAGGTCTGTCCAGAAGGTATCCAGCCATGTAATATGAAAAATAGTGATATTTATTGAAGAAGGTACAAGACACAAGAAACATTGTACATAGGACAGTGATGCCTCAGCTCCCTACAAAGTAGGCATCTTCGGACCTCACACAGCTCTCCCACTTGCTATTAGCTGCCCTGTCATATTTTCCTGAATCTCATTGATGGTCTGAAATCTCTTCCCTTTCAAGGGTGATTTTTAGTTTTGGAAAAACCCAGAAGTTGCAGGGCACCAAATCTGGGCTGTAGGGGTGCTGAGTCACCTAGGTGATTTGATGTTTCACCAAAAAATACTGCGTGAAATGTGATGCTTGAGTAGGTGTGTTGTGGTGATGAAGCTGCCAATCACCATTTGCCCATTGCTTTGGCCTCTGTAGCATCTAACTAGTTTGGGCAGAGGAATGTTCAAGCTTAATGCAAAATTTGATGCAGATTTATTGCTCTACTTGCTCATTTTGAGTGCAATGGCCACACAGTACATATGCTCACTCCGTGGCATCTACCACCCCTGACTGACTAGTACAGTGAAGTCATCATTGTTTACGTATGTGCATTCCAGTCCACTCTTCTTAGCTGCCAGGTATCATCAATTATCATGCAAACTGTTCTTGTTATATTAACAATGGCTGGATTTTTTTTGGACAGACCTTGCACATGGTCATTTGTCTCCTGTATATATTGCACATCTCTGCATCCTGTTCATTATTTTTTAACTTTGGCTATGATGTATTTCACTGTATTAAAGTTTAAAGATTTTATATAGTCGATTTCATAGCTTGTTGCAACTGCCCTATTTTCTAATTTATAAAAAATACTCCCATATTTGCTTATATTTTTAAGAAATTTGTACATGGTATGATTTAGATCTTTAATTTTTTTTCTATATGCATAGAGTTGTTTCATATCATTTATTGAATAAACCAATGATTTGAGATGTTATCTTATTCTGTTTATTTTGAACATTAATTATACTTAATGTATTTTGATTTATGCTATTTCGGAAACTAGTTGAATTTATATAAGTATCATTTAAGTATCATAAATGACAGTTCATTTAATTGTCATAAAGTTGTGAGGTTTTTCCCCGTAGCAAGGTATTTTTTCATTAGGTAATAGTTAACTGCAAAGGCTATAAACAGTGACTGGCTTCTTAATGTAGAAATACGGAAATGTAATTTTATATAGAATGACTAGAACATCTTGGAGGTTTTTGTTTGTTGAAAGTTTCAAGTTCTTTAATTTTTTTGAACGCTACTAATTATCTCCATACCAGCCCCAAAAATCTCAATTTGATTACTACCAAAAAATTAAGAAATCAGTAACAAATCATTTTATCATTTTAAACTCTTAAGTTTCAGAAATAGACGATGCAGCATACTTTGTATTAATTCAATAAAAAGCTATGAATAGGGTGATCCTGTAATTTATTGCTCTGCCTGGGAAACTTTTGAGAATCAAAGGTGGATATTATATACACACAAACATATATGTATATACATATACAAGCATGTATATGTGCATGTGTATGTTACATACTTGTGTATATATGTGGATAAATGTGTATGTACTTTTTAATTTTTTCCCCAACAGTAAGCCATAGTTACCTAAGAACTTAGATATGTGAGTGATGCATTTATATTTGCAAAAGCTCTAATCTTTTACTGTGATAACATACTGTGAAGTTTCTCATGAAACAGTACATTAAAAATAATTATTTAAAGCTAAAAAAGATGAATAAAACAATCCTGAATATCTTGAGAGGTTTTCTTTATTTTTGATCTCTGTTAGGGAGTACTGATTATTCCCCAGTACCACTCTCTTTTAAAAATAATCTCTAAGTTATGGTGGGCACATGGCTACCTACCTAGTGACTACATTTTTAGCTGCTTTTGCTGTAAAATATGTCGTGATGTGACTGTAAGTTCAGCCAGTGAGATGTGAGCTAGAGTGATGTGTGCAGCTACTAGATCACATCCTTAAAAGTATGCTTCATTTTCTGTTTACTAGGGGCTGGGACATGATATACTTGTGGTGAACTTTGGCCTTATAGATTGGAAAAATAATCTAGAGAATGCCATTGCAATCTCAAAATTCCCCTGAATTGCTTCATGAAGTCCACTCTTTTGCCTTTCAGCTTGGACTTCGGCATGAGAGAAATAGCACTTCTATATATGTTACAGCAGCAAAGCCCATACTCTTATGTTGTTAGGGTCATGTAGTGGAGGGCCAGTTCATACTACCATATGACATATTCCGTATGGAGTCGTAGTTTTTAGGAATGACAAGTTAGTGTATTGTATGTGTAATATTCAGTTCATATTCCCGACTAATGAAGTGGGACAAAATTGTTTTCCTGTAAGAGCACTTGGATGAATTGGATGCTGTATTTAGTAACAATATAGCTTATTTAAAATGTTGGTAAAAATATACTTAGTATTTATGATCTTTTTGTCATCTACTACTTTAATTTGTTCTTTGGAATTTTTTCTCATTTGCTTTCTTGCTGTTTCCTTAGTTTTCTGACTTTCACTATAAGAAGTTCATACTTCGATTCTAGTTTCCCTGCCAACTTTTTTTTGGGGGGAAAAAAGATGTACTAAAAGCATTTTGATTTTACATGTATAGTGGCTTTTATTTAGCTTAGGTCAATATAAAGAATTTTATATCTACAGGAAGTATATATTAGCTATGGAAGGGTATTTTGGAATAATGATTGTTATTCATATATTATTTAATACACATCAATTTTTAAAAAATTTTCAGAACTCCTGATATCAGTGGTTCAAAATACTATTTATAGCTATCACAGATTTTACATTCTATTAATATGACTGTACTAGGGAGTTATTTCTGTTAATGCTTAGCGTTAATAAACTAAGAGCAAGGAAGTGTGACCATGGCTTCTTTTCAGTACAGATATTAGTCTGTCCATGGAAATCCCATTTTCTGTTCAGCAATTTCAGTATTCCATTCTTTCCCAAGATTTTTCTTCACAGCAAGCTTTCATACTTCAAGCTCTACATGTTAGTGCTCAGTCCTCATTCCCACATAAACACAACCATTTTGAAAACATGAACTGATATTAATTACCCCCTTGGCACCAAAAAGTCAGGATTTCCTGATGCGGCACGCTAATGTAAAATGCATTAGTGCAAACGCTGGCTCCAAGGGGTAATACTCTCTAAATAAACACAGCAATGTTTTTCTTTATTCACGACTCTCAGGCTATTCTGAAAGTCATTCATCCTCCATACCCCCCAAAAAAAGCATTTTGAATTTTAATAAGTTATAACTGTATTTTCAAAGAAAAAATTGAATTCCAAGCTGCAAATCAATAACACTTAACTCTTTGGTTCTTTGAAATAAAATCTATCTATATTAAATGGCTTTGTTCCGTAATTTGCAATAGTCTGTTGGAAAATAGCAGTTTATGTTTAATTATTGGTATCACTAAAAGTGTCTCATTTTTGACTTGAAGTTTTCTTTGGAAATAGAAAATGGGCAAGGAGGCTGGTCACTTAAGGCCAGAAGGAATGTGTAATGGTTTTTTTGGTTTGTTTTGTGGTATGTGTTTGAACATCCCATGTAGGCTTCTGGGCAAGAAGGCATTATTTTATGTTTTGATGTACCCTCTCCAAACACAGACTACTGCTATTATATAAAACAAACGTGAACTAAACCAAAGATAG